GAGCCAGATCGAGGGACCCAGGGGCCTGCTTCAGACTGGCCTCAGGCTTCATCCTCAGAGAGAGAAGAAGCCACAGGGCCAAGTGTGCCCAGTGGTACAGTGTGAGTCCCTATATAGAGACAAGGTCATTCTAGGTGGCAAGCAGAATGCAAGCTGGGCCTGACCTGATGGGAAAGTGGAGTTCTGCTCCAGCACCTGCTCTCCCTGGGCTACTGTGTAACCTAGGGTGTGGCCCACTCCCCGATCCTGCCACTCCGGAAGCCAGCAGTTGGGGATCATAGCTCTGATGCCAAGCACTGTCTCAGAAGCCTCCAGCCCTTACGGCCTCCCCTGCCCAGCTCAGGGTCTCCAGGGAGCTTCAGGCTGAGGCTGAAACCAAAGGGTAGTTACAATTTTATTTTTCCATCCCTCCCTCTTTCAAACCCTGAGGAAAGCTCCAAGGGCTCTCATGAAAGGGCCCAGCAATACCCCCCAAGCCTGACTACAAATACTATGCATGCAGAACCGGGTGCACGCGTGCATACACACGCATGCACATGCATGCTGATCACCTCTGCCCCCTCTGTCCTTGCCTCCCCTGGCCTACCTTCCTGGTGTCCTCCACAGAAATCCACGAGGACCATCATCCTCCACGGAGGCCACGGGTCCCCAGGATAGGATCTCTGTCACTTATAAGTCTGCCTCCTGCACCCCTAGACCTTCCTCCCACTGTCCCTGTGTCCTGTGCCCACAAACCAGCCCTTCCAAATAGCCTACCTGGGATGGGCCAGAGACCTCAATGGGCCTCAGCTGGTGGTGAGAACAGTGTGGGCAGCAGCATCAGGGAAGCTTGGCTTCTGGAGCGAGCGCCTTAGCAGGTGGGGGAATTGTCAGGCAGCCACAGGCCTCTCATGCTGTGTGTGGGGCTGAAACACACCAGCCACATAGCTCAGCCAAGTTCCGGGGGTCCCAGGGACCCTGTGAGGCACCCCTTCTCCCAGTCCCAATTTGATCTGGATTAGCTGGGAGGCATCAGTGGAGAGGCTGCACACCTGGGTAATAGGAAGGCACCATGAGGGCCTCAGGGCTGCTCTGGAGCTGATAAGGCTCCCCCTGCCCCCACTTAGGCAGGTGGCTGGAGCTGGGGAAGTCTCTGGAACAGTGACCTCAGATTGGTTCTGTATTCTGATGCCTGTTGGGATACCCACCCACCCCACCCCACCCCCGCCCGCGCGCGCGCACACACACACACACACACACACTTACTAATGATGACCCCAGGTCTCGGTTTCTTACCTGAACCTGAGGCTGAGTCAGACCCCACTCACTTGCTGCAGGTTTTGTGAGATAATATGCGTGCAGGGGTACTCTGATGATGATGGTGCTGTTTTGCAGGAGAGGCGGCCCTGAATGAGTACCTGAGGGTCAAGACGGTTACCTTTGAGTACTGAAGAAAGGTCTCATGCGAAGAAGCCTCCGTCTCTTCCACAGCTTGACCTGCCTCCCCTGTCAGCCCGATTGTCCTTCTAGCCCCCTCCTGGGTACACAGCACCTCCACCCGAACTGGCTGGTGGAAGCCTGCTGCCTGCAACCCCTGTCCCTGTCGGGGACCCCATCTCCCCAACCCCAGTCCAATCAGAGCAACATTTGGCTACTGAGAAGGTGGCCCCAGGGCGAATAAATGTTCTGACCAGCAGCAGCCAGCACCTGTGTGACTTCCCTGCCCATCTGGGGGTGCCCTGGGGGGCCCTGCAAATCCTGGCACACAGTGAGGCTTTGGGCCCGGGAGAGCCAGTTGCTGTGGGGGGAGACACAAAATTGAGAAATGGGTGTGTGTCAGCTCCAGCCTCAGGAAGCAGGTGCTGAAGAGGAGTTAAGAGTTTGAGAGGCCTCACCCCAGACACCAAGGGGAGGAAGCGGGGAGGGTTGAAGAAGCTCAGACTCCGATGCAGCAAATCCGGCCTGTGTGGGAGCCGCCCCAGGGCAGAGAGGCCTCAGCTGATCGCTGACCAGAGGACACTGCTGCGGGCTATTGCCCCAGACTGGCATTTCAGTGCAGGGGCGATGCTTAAAGGGGTGGTGGACCTGCCTTAACACAGTAACTTACATCAGACCAGACAAGTCTCACCTCTGCCTCTTTTCCGAATCCACGTTGTTTTGCCTCAAACACCCCTAGAGCCAGGGCATCAGCAGCGGAGCCCAACGAATGCAGCTGGCCCTCAGCCGGTTCTTTCATGCTCCTCCCAGTGGGAAGCATTTGGAGGGTTCAACCCTGGCCTCCCTGCAAACAGTCCTTCACAGCAGAAGAGCAGGCAACGCCTTGAGCACAGTCCTATCCAAACCCAAATCAAGCCAAGAAACACTGTCCCCCCCTCTTCAGACACACACACATAGAGCTTGGTTTAGCCAGGGTGCCCACGATAGTTCTACCTGAGACCTCTGGTTTAGATACACAAGACTAGGCTCCGAGTCTTCTCCCCTTTATTTTTTTAATCCAAAATGTGTTTATGGGATGGCTCCCCAATCACCTCGATCTGAGGTGCTTTCGTGCTGCTTCCTACTGAAGGAGCGTCCCCTGTAAGCCGTGCCTTTCCTCCTGTCGTCTGACAGGGGACAGTGGGGCAAGCAACACACAGAGGCCGTTGGTGCAGGGCTGAGCCGGTGGTGATTTTATAGCACCTGGGCGTTTCACAGCCATGAGGTAGGCCCTGGGCTCTGCACCAGGCGCTTCCCCTGTGCTTCCTCTCCCCTTCTGGAGCGGGGAGAAGGGGCTCCTCCCTGAGAGGAATGCTGTCATGGGGTGGGGTGGGCCTCGTCACGGCCAGAAAAGCTCTTTTCCCTCTTTGCAAATTTTCCTGAAACTATAAGTAAGTATAATTTTAAAAACCACCCAGTTTCCCCCTCCTATGTATTTCTCGCCGGTGTGTCTCCTTTACTTTTACATAGAACACTTCACTTCTGACACTTCTGGTCACCAAACGTGTGAGGGCGTTTTCCCACATCAAGCAATTTCCTGCAACACCAACTAAAGTGAATGTCCTATGATATAACTGGATTCTGACACTATCTCCCAAAAGATCATACCAGGCCCTACACCAGTGATGGCGAACCTATGAACTCATTTTTTTGGTGGATTTTTCTTTGTTAAATGGCATTTAAATATATAAAATAAATACCAAAAATATGTCTTTGTTTTACTATGGTTGAAAATATAAAAAAATTTCTATATGTGACACGGCACCAGAGTTAAGTTAGGGTTTTTCAAAATGCTGACACGCCGAGCTCAAAAGATTCGCCATCACTGCCCTACACGTTACGGCTCAGTCCCACAAAACTGCTCCCACCCACTTCCGATGTCAATTAGTCTCCAGATGTCAATCTGAAGATGTCAATTAGTAGGTCTCCAACTTCTACCCAATTTAGCTATAAAACAGCGGTTCTCACGACCCCCTCCTTAGGGTCAATTAATTTGCTAGAGCAGTTCACAGAACTCAGGGAAACGTTTACTTACGTTTATCAGTTCACTATAACCCAGTGTATATGGGAAGGATACAGATGAACAGCCAGATGAAGAGAGACAGGGTGAGATCTGGGCAGGTTTTGAGTACAGAAGTCCCCTCCCCATGCAGTTGGAATGCTTTACCCACTCTGTGTGGATTTGTGTGCCAGCCTGGAATCTCTCTGAACCCTGTATTATGGAATTTTATGGAGGCTTCCTCAAATAAGCACGATTAATTATTAACTCTGCTTTCTATTCTCTGACGAGTGCCTGATGGGCACTCTAACCATTCACCCGCCGTTGTGGGGTGTTCTGAGCTGGTCCGAGGAGTGAAGTGCCCTTACAAACAGGTAAAAGGGTTTAACAATAAATATATTAAGAAGGTGAGGATGCACATCATTCTAAAAACAGCATCAAATTGAAATGCACACATACAGTAGTCAGTCTTGCCTGAAATGCCAACATGAGACCAATTCACACTTAGAAACATAGTCTTGACCCCTCAATACATGGGGAAGGAAGGAGGAGCCATAGGACGGTTGGCCCTTTGAAGCCCAGATGCCTGAGGACCTGTGCGGTGGAACCAAATCTAGATATAAGAGAAGGCTGCAAGTTTGTGTCTGTGAACCCGGAGAACCTCTTGTGTGTAACATGCAAAATTGTCTTTTGTTGAAATAATATAATGCAGTATTTCCTAAGTCTAGTTAAATACCTACTAAGTGTTAGGGTTGCCAAAGGAGGAACGCACGAGGCCAAAAGGGGTAAAGAATTATGAATTTATTAGGTCATCTGGAAACCCAGATGGGCTGAGCCCCCAAATGGTGCTAGCACCCAAGGACGGTGAGTCAGAGATTTTAAAGGACTCTAGATGGGCTTTTTCTGGACAGAGAATTCTCTGGGCGGGTCCTGAGGGGAAAGATAATGGTTTTAGCAAGTGAATGTAGTCTGAGCAAGTGCTAAGCAAAAGGGAATGTCTGATGTGAAGTGGTCTAAAGGTCAGTTCCCAGGGGTGGGGGTGTCCTTTCAATTATTCGAACAGACCTAACACTAAGAAGGGCTCCTGGTGGTGACCTGGGATCAAATGAAAAAACAACAACAGTCTAGCAGTCATTTCTATACCCACAACAGCAAGACACTACTAATCCTGGAGACTCGATGGCTGCAGGCCAGGCATCCACGCCTCAGGAACGGCCTGTCTTCTTCCTACACCCTTTAAAGAAGAAACCCTCCTGCCCCTTCCCTCCCTGGAGGCTTCTTAGCAGGAGAATGTTTCCATCTTTGTAAACCAGCCGCAAAAGCGAAGCTTCCCCAAAGGGCTTTGGGGGAGGGGGGACATTCCTGCCAAAAGCCTGGGGACGGCTCTGCGCGATCAGGAAACGGTCTTTCATAGGGTGACTCCCGCCTGGAGCAGGTACCTGACCCCACACCTCCCCACCGCAAAGACCCCGCGCTTCAGCCCTGAGGGCGCGGTCTGCGCGGCCCAGCCTTCCGGCGCTGGCGAGCCGTTTCCTCCCGGTCCCCGCGGACTAGGGCGGGAGGGAGGGGCGGTGGACAACCCGGCCTTTGCCGTTTCCTCCGAGAGCCCTCGTGCGGCCGCGCTCGTCCTCCGCCCGCGGGTTGGGCCGGCCTTCCGCTCGCCGCTGCCCGGGAGCGGGATCGGGTAAGCGCGGCCGCGCGGGGACCGGGGCGGGGTGCCGGGCCGGGCGCGCGGAGTGTGGGGCCCACAGGGGAGCCCGGGGCGTTCGGAGGGAGGCCCAGCGCGGGGAAGTGCCGGGGCTGGAGCTGGAGCCGGGCGCCGGGACGTGCAGAGGGCGGAGGAAACGTAGAGTGGGGAGCGGTCGGAGGGCGATCCCGGGCAGGGTGGGGCACACCCGGGGAGTCCGGGGCTTGGGGAGCGGGGATCCGATGGGAGGCCCGGGTTCGGGGAGCGCTGGATAAGAACCTGCGGGGAGGTCCGCGATGGAGGAGGGAAAAGGGGAGAGTGAAGGGAAGGCGGCGGCAGCGCCTGGGGAAGGAACCGGATAAGGTCCTGGGCTGGGGAAAGGGGAGAGGGGACGCTGTCTAGGGTGCTTGGTAAGGGGGAGGGATACTGAGGGCGCAGGGCGGGATGGTGCGGGCGGGGTGTGGGGGTGGGGAGCGTGCTGGAGAGGGGACCCAGAGCATGGGGTGGGGGCAAGTCCTGTTTTTTAAGGTAACGCTGAGGCTCGGTCCCCCACACCGGGCACCCCAAACTCCTGGTGCCTGGGCTTAACTGTCCTGCTCCCCATACAGATTCTCTAGCTCCTCCCTCTCCCCAGCTGGTCAGAAACTACTCAGGTGGGTCCTTTTGGTGATGGGACCAGCCAGGTGTCCTGTGATGCCAATGAATTATTCCTTGCACTTGTGGACGAAAGGGGCCACTAACCTGACAAACTCAGGGAAGGACTGCGTGGCGGTCTTGCAAACTCAGAGACCTAAAGTAACTGCAAAGGATGGTCTGAAATTAAACTTTAACTAAAAGCAGTTATGGTGGGCAGTTACATCCTATGCCAGTATCTTCACTGACAAGGTCAACGTTTACCTTAACTGAGCCTATCTGTCTTGTGGCATCTATAATAACATGCCCTTGAAATGTCTGGGTAACTTGTAACTTCCCTTTTTCTGGATCCCTTGGGGCACCACCAAATGTGCTGGGCGCCAGGACAGATACCACAAATTCCTTCATTTTCATGTTAATTATTCCTGCACGCACCTAAGCATGTGTCTATCATTTTACGTTTTATCCAATCCCAGGGGTCCCCCCCCCCCTTTGCTTTCTCTCGCCTCTCTAGTCTATCACCAGTGGATTTCATGTAACCCACTACGTCCCTTTCCTTGGATTGCAATATATAAATGCAGATGTAACCCGCCAATCTCCGGAGCATTACCGCAATTCGTTGAGGTTCTGCTTCCCGGCATATGTCGACAGTTCGGCTCAAATAAACTCACAAAAATTCTTTACAGGTTTCAATGTTGTTGTTTTTTTGTTTTGTTTTGTTTTTATGTGAGCACACTCTTCACAACTCTTATGAAGTAGGTGCAATTATCCCCATGTAACAGATGAGGCAGTGGAGCCACAGAAATGTAACTATCATAAGACACACATCTAGGAAGGGGAGAAGCTGAGATTCGTCCTTGAGGCAGCTCCAAAGCTCTCCCACTGGACCAGGTCACCTGTGAAGCCCAGAGGGCTGAGGCCTCACAGCATCTTGACCCACCCCCATCCCCCAGAGTGGTCAGGAATGGCTTTGCCCCCCCACCTTTGTATGAGGTGCTAAGGACCACATTCCAGAACACTGGGGTGCCCAGAGGCTGGGGATCCAAGGCTGGCTTTCTCCTCTCTCCCCCCACCTCCCCATTGGGTGAGGCAATGTCAGTGTGCTCCTCACTCTGCAGTCTTTCCTTTGGGGGAAGGCTGGCCTGGACTCCTTCCCCCAACCTCACCCCTCCCTGCAGGCTAAAGGAGGGTTTTCCTGCACCCACAGCCCACTCTCCTGACAGGAGTGCCCCTCACCAGCAGGCCAGTCCTTCGGGACCTGGTTTGTCCATCTGTACTCATTTTTTATCAACCTCAGTGACATTTGAACACATTCTCCTTACGAAACACTCCCACATTTCCAATGAACTGATCGCTGTAAACTACTGCAGCATCAGAATCACCTCTCACCAGCATCCACGGGGATGTGAGGCCCGTCCGGTGGAACAGTGTCTCCACCCTGTGAGGAGCACAGAGCAGGTAGGAAAGACTGTCATGTGACCCAGGTGGGGCCTCTGTCCCAGCAACTCCCTCCCTCCTGAGGTCACCCCTGGCCAGTCCTTTCCCTGCCCACCCACGCACGTGCAGGTGAAGGTGGGCCCCAGGACGGGACAGTGTGGGATGTTTCTAGACGCCATCCTTTGGCCTGCTTTCCCCATGTAACAGTGGTTTCATTAGGAAGCGGTTTCTGTGCTGTGCCCACAGTGCTGCACTTCCTGCACAGCCACACTCATTCCCTCTCTGGGACCACAAGGAGCTCAGCGTTGGCGGTGCTGTCAGGCTCCCAGCACAGCTGCTGCTGCCACTCTTGGCTGTGTCTCCTTGTGTGCCCATGTCAGTCACCATCGTTGTGCCTTGTGGGGTAAGGTCATGTGAATACTGAGTAGTCACTACCAAGTTGCCTTTCACAGAGGTGGACCCACTGCCTGCCTCCCCCAGGCAGTGTGAGGCGCTTCTCTCGCCCTGGGCCTTTGGGCCATCTCATGATGAGATAGGGGCTCCGCCTGCTGGGTTTAAGTCATTGCCCCTGTCTCTAGTCTTGTCGATGCTGACTGGATGCTTCTCTTTCTTCTACTGAGCACCTGTCTCTTCTCTTACCTCTTTCTCCATCAGCATTTCCATTCCAATCAATATATATTTTGATTGATTTCAGAGAGGAAGGGAGAGGGAGAGAGAGATAGAAAGATTAATAATGATAGAGAATCATTGATAGGCTGCCTCCTGCACACCCCCTACTGGGGATGGAGCCTGCAACCTGGGCATGTGCTCTGACTGGGAATTGAACTGTGACCTCCTGGTTCATAGGTTGATGCTCAACCACTGAGCCACGCCGGCTGGGTTTGCTGATTTTTTTTTTTTTTTTTGGTTTTGGTTGACACACTGTTGACTCTGGAAATCAGATTCTCCCTTCGTAGCGTTTCTTAGTAGTGCTGTTTGTTGTAGTTATTTGTTTAGTAACTTTTCTGGACTAATTCTTTAGTCTGTATTCCTTATTATATGTGGTCACTGAAGTCTCTGTTTAGTGGTCAGGTAATGATTGGTTAGGGATTGCCTTGATCACCGTGCCTGGAACCTGTAAGTCTCCGAGTCTTTGCCAAGGGGCTCTGTTTGCTGTTGGGGCACATCAGTCAGGTCATTACAACTCTGCCTTCACCTCCACTTTCTGCCTGTGCAGAGTCTCCCAATTAGCCAGGGGTGAGAATGCTCAGGGCCTTTGCAGGTATTTCCCGAACATATGCTGAGCTCAATATGAGTGGCCTTTTAGATTCCCCGAAATGTGTAGGAACTTTCAAAGTCTGTGTAGGCATCTTATTCCCTAGCTTTTCCTTTTAGGTTTCTGTTAGTGTATTGTTTATCCCAGTGGTCGGCAAACCCATTAGTCAACAGAGCCAAATATCAACAGTACAACGATTGAAATTTCTTTTGAGAGCCAAATTTTTTAAACTTAAACTATATAGGTAGGTACATTGTTACTAACATAATTAGGGTACTCCTAAGCTGGCCTTTGCTAAAAACGTCCTCAATGTGATTGAGAAACATTCGCTGAGGTCGACCCCTTCCAACTCTCCCATCCACACTCGTCTTGTATACTTGTTTCAGATAGCCGAGTGTGGATGGGAAAGTTGGAAGGGGTCGACCTCAGCGAAAGTACCTCAAAACAATGTACCTCCCCCGTGCTGCGTATCCCACGGCCTTCCTACGCCGCGTCTCCCGTTGCCCGACTGACACCCCCCACTTCTTCTAACGCCACTTCTTCAAAATAGACTCGCCCAGGCTGAAAACTGACTTCTGGGCATGGGCTACGAAGTTTCAATCGCACTGTACGTGCGCCCGCACGTGGTATTTTGTGGAAGAGCCACACTCAAGGGGCCAAAGAGCTGCATGTGGCTCGCGAGCCACAGTTTGCCAACCTCTGGTTTATCCCAATATTACCTACTGTCTCAGGCAGCCACAAAGTGCCTGTAATTGTTTTCAGCACATGTCCAATAGGGAAAAGCCTTTTTATGCTAAGTGACCTATGAGTCCAATTTCGGGCTGTCTACCAATGGCATCTTCCAGTGAACAACCTGGTAGGTCAAATAATGAGAATTCTTTGGGAATGAGGCTTTGAAATAGCTCTAGCCCATTTTAGTCCCTCCATCTCTTTTTAAGGTTTTTAAGGTTGCTTCAGAGGGGGAGAGCAGGGGATGGGAATAAGGCAAGTTGACACCTTATGGACATTACAGTGTTGCTGTTCTTTCTGAGATTCAACATTTTCTCTTGACTAAATCTGTGTTGCCCTAGATGGTTGGGCTCAGTGGATAGAGCATAGGCCTGTGGACAAAAGGGTCCCAGGTTCAATTCCAGTCAAAGGCACATGTCCAGGTTGCGGGCTTAGTCCCCAGTAGGGGGCGTGCAGGAGGCAGCCGATCCAATCGATGTTTCTCATCATTGATGCTTCTATCTCTCCCTCTTCTTTCCTCTCTCTGAAATCAATAAAAATATACTTTAAAAAAAGATCCGTGTTGCTGCATGCCTTTGATTAATTTTCAGAGTTCTGAAAAAGTTACTTCTGACAATTTTCCTGTTGCTTTTATGAAAGAGAATTTTGAGAAGTCCTTATACCACCGGTTTTGCTGGTTATAATTCATGTATTTTGATGCTGTCTTTTGTATGTGTGTGTTTTTTTCTCAAACGTGTGCATATTAAATAAAAATGTGTGCAAATTGGGGTTGCAGGAGGCCATGTGGAGCAGGCACCAAGTGAAGGGCTGTGGATTGACCGGAATGATGCCAGCCTCTGTGAGAAGGGCCTGCAGACTTACAGGGTATCAGCTCTATTGGGGGTCAGGAACTCTACCCTACCATCCCTGCTGCTTTGTGTCTCCCAGGTGAAGGCTGCCAGGGGCTCAGCCGTGCTCACATGGATGGGACAGAGACCCGACAGCGGAGGCCGGAAGAGCTAGGGCTGCCACCTGCCCTCAGCACAGGAAGACTCCCTGCAGCCTCAGAAGATGGACCTCTGACTGTCCCTGAGAGCCAAAGGGTGACCTCTAAACTACTGGGGACTGAACTCAGCAAGGAGACTGCCCTATCCATTGGCTTCCAGGTGACAGTGCCCTTCATGTTTGCAGGCCTGGGACTGTCAGGGGCTGGCATACTTTTGAACTATTTCCAGGTAAGTGGGAACTAAATGGGGATGATGGTGTTGGGGGACTGCCTAATGTCATCCTAAAGAGGAGGCAGCTACATGTTGGGCCCAGCTTGAGGAACATAGGGTAGGGCCTCCTCTCAAGTACAACTTTCCTGCAAATTGGTAAAGGTTCTTTTAGTTACTGGTAACAGAGACTAACGTAACCTAGGTGGACCAGGAAGGAGAGGGCCCCATGGTGAACTATATGGGTTCCCCTTTGTGGCCAATAACTTTAGTTTAGAGACCTGTGGGACTGGGGGTGCAAGGAGTGTGTATCCCCAGGGAGCACCAATCCACATTAATCAATGCCAGACTTATTGATGGCCTCAGCGGGGTTGCCGCCTTGTAACTTAAATATGTGGATAAAAGGGGTTCAATGGAAAGTAATTTCATAGGATGATCTGACCATAAACTTCTAAGTGGGCCAGTCATGGTGAGCAGTCTTGCCCCAGGCCTATAACTTTTAGTAAAAGGTTTATCTTTGCCGTCAGTAAGCCCTGACCATTGTTTCTCAGCATCTGATTGACACACCTTTGAAATAAACCGCAGCCAACTTCAAGAGAGCACTTACTCTGTTAGTCTTGTAATCCCATTTGCCACCTTGCTTTCTTCCACCTTCAGGTAATGTTCCTTCAGTTCCTACTTAAATTTTTCCCCAGATGATAAGAGAAAGTTTATTTAAAAAGTTACGGAGGTAGAAGAAGTGAGCCAGTTGGGCTGTGTTGGCTCAGGAAACAAGTTACAGAAGCAAAAGAATGGCCCTTGGAGCTTAGGATAAAGAAAGGCAAAGGTAACACTCCTGGGAGGAAGACGGGGAGGGGGAGCAAAAGGGAAAGGGGAAGGCAGGGGCATGCTCCCAAGAGGAAGAGCGTCCCTTTCCCCCCTTAATTTTAAATGAATAAAACAAGCTGTGAAACTGTTATTCTCCAGAGCATGATGTCTGCTGTGGTTCTGAAAGCCTCTTCTTTACTTAATTGGTGAGAGAGGGATTCCTGCCCTAGTGTTATGGGGCTGACTGGACCCATGATCCCAGCACTGGACAGATGAGATCACTGAGTTGATCAGTCACAGTACTCACAGCCTGGGGGAGAAGGACACTGCCTACCACTCAGGGCCACAGGGGTTGTGCTTGGGAGCCGAGCAAATTGCCAGGGGCTGTGGGAGGCAGGCCTGTGTAGTAACAATAGGGTGAGGTGCCCACTGGTTCTGTGGGAGGGTGAGATTAGCCCGTTTGGATAATCTCATGGGCTGGCAGGAACTAAAACCCACTTCAGGGAAAATTGGGAACTGTGCCTGGTCCCCCTGATAAGAAGCATTGCTTAGCTAGGGTACCTTATCCGCTGGAGCAGAGAGGGGAGGGGAAGTTGCAGTGAGGCCATGGTTTCACCAGATGTCAAGGCAGCAAATCATAATAATTTTAGGCTTGGCACCACTCAACCGTATGAAAGGCTGGCTGGGTTTCTTTTTCTCTTTGTTTCTACGATTCTGTTTATTTGTTTATTCATTTAATCATTCATTCACTCATTCATGCAACATGAGTATGTGTGCCATGGGCCAGCACTGAGCTGGACGACGCCAGGGTGGACACGACAGCCAGGCCCTGCTCTCATGGCCGTCAGAATCGAGTGGGGAGCCCTAGCCGTTTTGGCACAGTGGCTAGAGCATCAGCCTGTGGACCAAAGGGTTCCGGGTTCGATTCTGGACAAGGGCACATACCTTGGTTGCAGGCTCCTCCCAGCCCAGGCCCTGGTCAGGGCCTGTGCAGAAGGCAGCCAATCGGTGACAGACAGTAGATGCATAAGTCCATGTTAGGTGGCAGTAGGGGCTGTGATGAAAATAGAGCTGGATGGTAGGCCTCAGGGGCGTCCGAGAAGGACTCTCTGAGGAGGAGATGCTGGAATGAGGCTTGAGTGATCTGAAGGAGCTGCTTGGAGAAACTTCATGAGAGTAAGCTGGGCAGGGGTGGGAGCAAGCGACTCAGTCCACTTTTACTTGTGGGTGGGTCTGCCAGCCAAAGAAGCAGAAAATAAAGAACCTTTCCTGTTATTGAAAATGTAATTGGCTTGATTTCTGAGGACCTAACGTGATGGGAAAGAATTCAGGCCATTTGGCTCAGAATCAGCCAAGGCTCAAGGTGACCCACAAAAGGAATAGGAGGCCGTTTGGAAGGTATACTCCTGGGAATTCCCAGTTCTCACTGAAGAATAAGAAGTGAAAGCTAGGAATGGCCATAGGCATCCCAAAGCCCTCTGCCTGTCCTCGGCACCTCCTAACTGTCCTGCAATGACACACGCCCTAAAAATCAAGGCGTGTTGGCATAGAGGAGTGGTTCTGATGCCACAGGCCTGGGGATCTGATTCACTGGTCTGCCCTGAGGCGGGGCTGCACATTTTTGGAGCTCCCCAGTAGTTCTGATGGCATTGTGGACGGAAAACCACTGATGCAGTCCCACCCTCATGCCGGAGGCTGAGTGGTTAGAGGCCCACAGGGCAGGGACTTGTTACAGGTCACCCAGAAACCCACCTGATGCTTGACCCAGATTCCACCGCTACCTGGTACAGCCCTGGAATCCAACTGAAGCTCTTGGGAGATTTTCCACTGTGCTACTGAACTATTTTTAAAATCACATTCTTGATTTTTTTTTTTATTATGACCTAATAAACTGTGTTGACATATTTTGTTCTCAAGTTTCAAGGAAAGTAATTTTTCCTCACATAATGACATCTTTTATTTATTTTTGGTGACAGTTGATGGTTATAACAGCAAATAATCACAATAGAAAATACAGCAAATTATAAAATAAAGGTCACTTATAATTATGCCACTCAAACATAACCACTTTGAGCACCTTGGTATATATCTTTCTGAACGTTTTACTGTTTGTATGTCTGTGTGTGAGTGTATTTATCTTAATTTCTCACTTGATTTTTAAAAAATGAGAAACAATTTTGTAATGATTTATAACTTGCTTAATCAGGAATCTCTATATGAAATTGTACAAGTGATTATCTATTTCCATATCTTCTGTCCTGATGAGAATGGTTCATGGTCTTGCTGTGTGTGTTGACATTGTATTATGATGTCTGAACACATTCAAAACCATAAAGAAATTGCAGGAGTTGCCAAGGTCAGGAGAAAGTGATTGCTGTTGGGGCCTCTCCAGCGGTGTGCCTTGGGAGTGGTGTGGTCGGTGTTGCAGGCCAGCTGAGAGGGGTTTTGTTTTAAACCGGTTAGCTCCCTTAAACCAGTTAACTTCAGCACCTGTTTTCTCAGAACCACACCATTAATCTCAGCCTCCTACGGGTACAGGCGGAAGGGTCAGGGAGTGTTCAGCAGGGGAGGGCAGTGGGGGGCAGTCTGCACTGGGAGTCAAGAGCTAAGGGTCTTAGTCCTGCCTCTGATACTAACTAGGGTGAAGCTTTCAGGGCCTACGGAAGGCAGTACTTGCTGGTAAGCATCTGGAGATATTTTGAGTCTGGTGATTGATTTAACACGAAACGATTCCTTGTTAAAAGGCATTGAGAAGCACGGGAAACTGAAGATCTATCATTCTTTCATTCATTTGTTCATTCATTCGCTGGTCATTTAGCGCATGTGTGTAGTTGATTCTGCTCTATGCTCTCAGCATTTCTTGACTTTCCTTCAGAGAACTTTTCCCAGGTTATAGTTACATTTTCCTTTTTACGATTACTACACCGGAAAGCTCAATTCATATCTATTCCACTGACAGATGCACCACATCTGTTAGACCGTTAGATCAGAGTCTGGCAAATATTAGGCCCTAAGTACTAATCCGTGGAGTAAATTAATGAATAGTTTCCTGTGCTGTGAAGATTGCAGTAGTGAGTCAGTCAGACTCCCTTCTCAAGAGGAGCACAGTCCAGGAAGGGACAGTAGATTCTTGAGCAGTTCTTGCTTGCATTAAGTGGACTTACCTTCAGACAGATTTTTAAAAAAGTACTTTGGGAATTCTGGGGAAGGATATGTTAGGCTGTGGCCAGGAAGCTAGCGAGGCCTCAGAGATAAGAAGGTGCCTCCACTGGCCATGGGTCCAGTCAGGAATTTGTCCTGGGCCTCGTGTGGAGCTGCAGAAGGAGCCATGTGAGAGCAGGCATGGTCCATGGCAGGGTCTGCAGGGATTTTCTTCTGTGGCGTGCAGCTATGCAACAAACCGTACCAAGCTTCTGTGGCTGTTGGAAGCTAGTCTTTCAGTTTGATCATGAATCTGCAGAGCTTTGGGCAGGCCTCTGTGAGCATGGCTGGCTGTTCAATGCAGCCTCTGTAGAGGTGGCTTGCTAGGCACTCCAAAGTAGTTCACGTGACATGACAGTTGCAGCTGGCTGTCGACTGGAACCTCAGCTGGGGCTCTTGGCTGGAACCCCTCTATGTGGCCTCTCCATGTGATTGCTTGGGCTTCTGCATAGCATGGTGGCTGAGTTTCAAGCATGAACATCTCAAGAGATGGGAAGTAGAAGCTGTCACTTTCTTAAGATCTGGGCCCAGAACCAGACTGGCACAGTGTCTCTTCCACTGAGTTCTACTCCAGCACTCACAGACTGAAGGGGAGGAGACAGAACTCTAACTCTCAATGGAAGGAATGCCAAAGACATTTAGAGCTTATTATGTTTGGCTCCTGAGAGGGGTTTAAAAATATCTGTTGAATGAATGAGTGAATGAATGGTGTGAGGAAAGATGCAGTGAGAGGAATATCTGGGCCTTGAAGGAAACAGTTATTGGAGATATTTGGCTGGAATTGTCAAGGAGAGGTCGTAGGATCTAGACTTGTGAGGACTGTGAACCTCAGGCTAAAGGGATGGGACTTGAGCATGGGATAGACAGGGGAGCCAGTTAAGTGCCCAAGGGACCGTGGTTTAGGAAGAGGAGGTGAGGCCTACACCAGGGCCTGGTTTAGGTAAGGTCCTCAGTCCATAGGTGAGTGTGCACCTGACCCTTAGCTTTGGGCTTCTGCTGGCTATGGCCTTCATCCCTGCTCCAGCCTGGCACCTGTGAATGCACAGTGGACATGCCCAACAATAATAGAATTCCTGGAAGGCGTGTGGCAGCCCAGCCCTTTCTCCTGGACCGGGTTGGTCTTACCTTTGTAGCAGATGAGAATGTGGTCCTTTTGGAAGCACGTTTACAAATCTCCTGGGCCCTTGGAAGAACAGGGCTGTGATTCCTCTGAACACAGTTTCTTTGTGTGCCCATGACCCCCTGGACATCAAAGTCGTGGTGACCACATGGGTATCTTGGGGACCTGCAGACCCTCAGAGGGCTGTAGACCTGGTCCGAGGAGTGGGTCCCTCATGCTGAGATTGTCTAGGCCCTTATCTGCCAAGAGTGGAGGCTGCCCAGGGCACACGTGCCAAGGGCGGCAGATCTCTGCGTGGCCCTTGCCAAGGCCAGTCCTCACGTGGCTCTATCTCTGGGTCCAGCCAGAGCCAGCGTGGGCCAGAGGGCTGGGTGCTGTCAAGGTCGTGCCGAGGGACAGTGAGCCTTCTTGTGGCAGGCTAGCCGAGGGAGGTCCCGGCTGACGTAGCAGCCACTCTGAAGAAAACCTTATCTGCAGAGATCAGATGGACAGCAGGAGCTGGCTTAGGCCCCAATGAGGCTGAGTCACTCGGGCCTTTTCTCCTCACTTGTGTGCTCTGACTCTGGCTGAGGGGCACTTGGGGAACCTTCCACAGACGCAGGGCACCTGGCCTTCCTACCTGTGCGGACTTCTTAGGAAACGTATCTCGCTGAGGGCGAGGAGGACAGAGGACGGAGGGCTTCCTGGGCCTGGACATCTTGCTCCAGGGACTGTGCTTGACAGCCTGACCATGGTGGTCACCCAGCTGAATCTGGAGTTCCGCTTTCAGGGCAAGAAGTTGCGAGGCTTCAGCTGTGAGCTCACCCGGTCCCCCCACGGGGTCTTCCCTGAGACCACCTTCTCCATCACGTGCCAGGTTGTGGTCCCCCTTCTGCTCTCGGGTCTGGGCATGATGACTGCCGGCCTGGTGATGAACACCATCCAAGTGCGTACCGGGCATCTGAGGGGCAGCGTGGGGCCTGGGCTTGGGCGGACTGGGGTTCCCAGGCAACACAGATAGGACAGGTGTGGGGATGCAGGGAGCCCCCGAGTGGGGCTGAGCCCTAAGCCAGGCCTTGGGGCTCAGCGGAGCTGGCAGATGGGTCCTCCAGTGCCTGAGATTTACAGCTTCGGAGCCCTCTCTGAAGGTCAGCCCACACGAGCCACATTAGCCCCGGGAGCTCAAACCATTTTCCTTCCAGGGAATGCAGACTCATTAGGCAGGGACTGAGGAGTTCGAATCCTGGCTCAGCCATTTGCTCAATATCTGAGAGAACTCCTTAGTGTCCCCCACCTCAGTTTCCCCATCTGTAGATGGGACTAATAGTGCACCCACCTTGCAGGACTGTGAGGATGGGTGACCAAGTGCACCTTGTGTTGTGACCTGTGTTGTGATGGGCACTACTCCCTCCAACCCCCAGAATCTTCGTGGGGCTCTTCCTTGGGAAGACAAGGGACAGAGGTCAGGCTGGGGGTCCAGGCCAGCCAGGGGCTGTGGTGGTCTCCATTGGTAGAGGTTCACCTTTGTATATTTTGGGGGGGGGTGGGACAAAAGGACTCCTATCTATTGGGTATGTGTCCAGGAGTGGAATTGGCAATGAAGGGTTCTAAAGGGCTGGGTGCCATGGTCATCTACGTGCAACAAAACTCACCCTGGCAGCAGGGCCAGAGACACCTGAGGGTGCGGCTCCAGGCCGCAGCGGGAAGCTGGGAAGCTGTGGCCCTGATTCACAAGTGAAGAATCATCACTTCTGATTGACTTCAGCCTCCCTAGTACCCTGGCTAGATGTCTAAAGTGTTGCTGGAGAGGGCAGTGGCAGAATGTAAGACAGCTACAAAGATTTGGATGGCAGGATGGCGGGGAACACGAGGGGTTAATTAAGTCCTGGCTGGCAGAGCAGGAAGGATGCTTAGAACTGGTGGGTGGAGCAGGGCATGGGGGGGCTGGGTGAGGAGGGTTGAGTTGAGAATCCTGAGTTTGAGGGGCTTGTGGGAGATCAAGGTTCCGTCAGCAGTTGGGTCAGCAGGTGTAACACGCAGAAGGCAGATCTGAGCCGGTGACGTCGCACATCACCAGCACAGACCTCAGGGCATCAGCCAGGGTGCTCTGGCTGTAAGGAATGGAAAACTTAACTCAAAGTCACTAAATGATTTCTGATCCCTGTAAAGAAGTCTACAGATCAAGCAGCCCCGGCACTAGTTCACTCGCTGGATTACCAGTGTCGCCCAGTATCCAGGGTCCGACCGTTTTTCTTCTTTACCTTCCACGTCTGTTGACCTTGTCCCTGAATAGACCCCTCATGGTTGTGTGATGCCTCATGTGTCTAGACATGACGTCTCAAATCTCTTGGGCCACGATGTGTCCCAGCCCACACCCAAGCAGCCACTTGCAAGAAGGGGGGACGCCTGCATGAAGGGTCACGGTCTAGCCTTCACCTCCTCCGGGCCGTTTGTGTGGATGGAGGATGGGGTGGCTCTGGAAGTTGGCTCCAGCCTTGGAAAGGAGAGGATGTGGACAGAACAGGGAACTGAAGACCAAGTGTGAAGGGAAGTCAGGATTATGTCAGGAGGCCTACACCAGCAGGTCTCCCGAACTTGGGTTTTCCTGTTGGCAGAAGCGGACTTTGCATGGGCTGGGGTGAATCTGGTGGGAAAGGATTAGTCAGGAGCCGGGTGTGCCACTGGGCAGTCAGGGGTCCGGTGGCAGCCTGATCTTCCCCTCGGCTTGGTTCAATCTGTCCTTGAACGGCGTTTCTCAGCTGCCGAATTGGAATCTTGAAAAAGATTGCCCCTGCGTTTTCTGGAGAAAGTGTGTTAGTTTGGTCAAATCAGCCCACAAGGCTGCCCAGGAACCTGAGGACTATGCAGAGTTGAAAGCCTGTGCCCATCTTAAATCAAGGCTTTTTAGACTTTGGTGAAATGTCTAACCTTGTAGCTTTCCTATATGGAAAAAGGAAATTAAAAAAAAATTTTTTTGGCGGGGGGGGGGGGGATAAAATTCTTTAATTACATTTTAAAAAATTAAAAGGTTGGGAGGAGGAAGAGCCTTCAGTGGAGGTCAAGGTGGAGAGAGTAGAGACGTCAGCAGAGGACGGGGATGTGGTCCTAGGCGCCAGTGTGGAGAGCTCAGAGGTGAGCCTGTTACACAGGAGGAGTCTAGTACATATTTGGGCAGGTGGGGTGTGTGTGTGTGTGTGTGTGTGTGTGTGTGTGTGTAAGATGCCCTGGCCCAGTCCCTTCACCTCCAGGTTGCGTTATAGATGACTCCCCAGGCCCCAGAAGTGAGTGGATCCGCACAGCTTCATACAGCTCTTGTCTCAGGCAATGGGGGTCCCCAGGCCTCCTATCTCCTAGCTGACAAAATAGGTGTTTTTTGTTTTTGCAGTTCTTGCATTCTAAAACCAGGAGGAGCTTTTAGTATAGGGGTCACAGATAACTGTGGGGGCATAGTGTGGGAGCTCAAACCAATCAGTAGAATCATTACAAATGATTGAGGAATAATCTAGTTGCATGTTAAGTAGGTTGGAATAGTTTCCACTCCACAAAGAATTGTTTTCTCTTCTAGTTTTCTTGATCCCTTTCGTTTTTTTATTTTTTTAAATTTTAATTTCTTTTAGCATCTACTCTATGCCCTCTTCACCTTCACCCCTCCCCCCTCACACTCACCACACTGTTGTCCATATCCATGAGTTTCCTTTTTTATCCCCTCTCATTCTTCATGTTTTTATTTCCTTGTGTTTGATAGAGACCTGTATGGACGCACCTTCTATCTCTTTAAACAAATCCCGAGCCCCGCCACCTGATACTCCAGCGCAGTTTGCGCTTGGCCTTGGTGCCGGGAGCAGCCAGCAGGCCTGGGCCGCCTGGGAGTCCTTGTCCCAGATAAAGCAGTGCCACTCTCAGCTCCGCTCTCCCAGTTCATGTGGATCTCCCAGCTCTGAAATCGGTGACTCATTCCTGTTTCTGCAAACACAGTGTGCACACCTAACAAAGCGTGTCCCCGGGCTCAATCCAGCCTCCTCCCAATTTTCCCAGGTTCTGGGGACCAGAAAGAAAGGGACTCTTTTGAGGTCTCTACTGCTGTTCACTGAATAGTATTGAGAACATCTCACAGCTTCATCATTATTTTGTATTTAGTTTAAAGCCACTTATGTAACTATTTAGGCCCTGGCTAATGTGGCTCAGTTGGTTGAGTGTTACCCCATGCACCCAGAGGTCACAGGTTCATTTCCCGGTAAGGGCATGTGCCCAGGTAGTGGGTTCGATCCCCATTAGGGGGAGTGCAAGAAGCAGCTGATTGATGTTTCTTTCTCTCTCTCTCTCCCTTCCTCTCTCTCTAAAATCAATAAAAACATTTTTTTTTTTTTTAAAAAAGGAAATGGTTTAGTCTTACTCATTTGTTTTACAGGGAATGAGGAGTAACTTGTGAAAAGCTCTCAAGAAATGTCCGAGCTATGCCATTATGTGTGTATGGATTGAGCTTCTTGTTCTGTCCCACCAGCACTGGCCCGTGTTTGTGGAGGTTAAAGACCTGTTGACATTGGTGCCACCCTTAGTGGGCCTGAAGGGGAACCTGGAGATGACACTGGCATCACGACTCTCCACAGCTGTAAGTGGACATCTGGGTGACCTACCCCTCGGGGAGGGACATGTCTGCACCACCAGGTCTCCCCGACGTAGCTTGTAGGTGGGTGGGTTGGACTCTCCAAAAAGAAGTGTTGAGTTTTGTTCTGTCACGATGCTCTACTTGGTCACTCTTCCCAGCCTGTCATCCTGTTTAGCCAAGCTGTACTGCTGTATGCCCAGGCCCAGCCCCTGTGTGCCCTGAGTTTCTCCTCTAACCTGATGTCAGGCAAGGCTCTGTGTCCCTGTGCCCAAGTCTGTGGGCTGCTTCTGCTCGGCCACCTGGACCCTGATCCCAGCTCCATGCACTCACACTGAAGCCATGATGAACACCACAGGGCTGATGGAGGATGTCATAGAGGAGACAGGGTATTAAGTGCTGGTGATGACCTCTAGGGAGGGTTTGTTCTGCAGAGGGCTTGTGACTGCCCCACAACCAGAGTTGCTTCCTATGGGCTCTAATTCACAAGGCCCCTAGCTGTGCCCCTCTTCTCACCTCTCCTGGGAGTTGAAATTCTTCTCCTCTCTCTGATGCCATTTGGATAGCCAATCCAGTATGTGCAAAAGGCCTGTGGCAAGAGGAAGTGTGGTGTGTTCAAGAAAATGAGAGAAGAGCGATGGCTTTAGGTGGAGTGCAAAGGGTAGGGCAGGGGCTGCCTGGCGCAGGACTCAGGAAAGACAGGTGAGGGGTGTGGGCCGAACAACAGCCCTCAAAGATGTATGGACAGGGTTTTTGCGGTTGTGATTACATTAAGGGCCTTGGATGGGAGAGCATCCTGGATTACCCCAGTGTCATCATAAGAGCACTGATGTAGGGGAGGCAGAGGGAAGTTTCAGACAGAAGAGGAGGCCTCTGAGAAAAGCAGAGACCAAGGAGAAGATGTTCTGCCACTTTGAAGATGGAGGAAGAGCCATGAGCCAAAACATGTTGCTCTACTGACTGGAAAAGGCAAAGGCACAGACTCCCCTCGAGCAAGGCTCTCCTGGCACCGTGATTTTAGCCCCATCAGACTCATTGCAGACCGCCGGCCACCTGACCTGTAAGAGAATACGTTCTGTGTCTTAAGCCCATGTCAGGTTTCCTGTTACAGCTCTAACAAAGTATTGCAAATTCAGTGGCTTGGAACAACAGAAGTTTACTCTCTTACAGTTGTATTTTAGATCTCCTTTTACTCTGTGTTTCCGAGAATGCTGCCTTCTTTAGAGCAGGCTACCTCTGGTGACTGGGGGGAGAGTCAAAATGTGTTGCCTAGAGGTATGTACCAGTAACTGGTCTTATGGATCTGGGGACTGTGTGTCCCTCTAATGGCCACTCTAGGCACTGCTCTGCCTTTTCTTACCCCAAAACGCAGTCTTACTGCCTCCGGGTATCCCGCTGTTGGCACAAGTCAGCCAGGCAAGGGAAGGTCCTGCAGCTGGTCTGCCCCACCTGATTCCCTTGTTGCTATGAGCACCTGAGGTGGGTGTTCATCTGTCTGTGGAGAACTGACTGAGGCCCTGGGACAGTTCTGTGATATGTCCCCAACGTCCGTCATGCTAATGACAAAAAACAACTCTCCTTATTTGTACAAACAAAAGTGATTCTATTTTGCCCCTGGGAGTTCAGGAACTTAAAGAACTTAGTACAAAGGAGCTGAGAAAACATATTTGCTTTGAAATCTTTTCTTATCTACGTATTGAATTTTGCTGGCAATTGCTATGATATTTGGACCTGACGACCATCTTTAAAGGAGAGAGTCATCTTTCTGAGCCTGTGTTTTAATACTAAGAGGAGAGGGACTTCCATGTGTTTCTGAAATGGGATGATTTGCAGAGATGAGGTTGGGAGGTTGGTGGTTCTTTGAGATGTCCACTGGCGTGGGAAGAAGGGAATTTCAGGAGAATGGGGCCAGAGAACTGGCAGAGGGCGCAGGCCAGGGTCACAGAGTCCTCCTCCCCTGTGGTGTGTGGAGGGACTTCGGAGTCAAGTGGCCCCGAAATTGTGGGTGACACGCATGCCTGTGTGTGCTTGTGTGCATGTATACATGTGTGTGCATTTCCACCCTTGGGTATGGGAGAGATGGTTTATGATACCGTCTCATTCTCAAAGGCACCTGTGTCTTTACCTCTCCACTCCCCAGTCACTCTTTTGAAAACTGGTTAATAATTTGTTCTGACGTCAATGAAGTGGTATTTGCTGATTTCTCTCCTGAGAGACTGCCTTTTTTTCCAGGAAGGATTGACCTGGCTTTGGGCCTAAGTAGACTTACCCTTTGCCCTTTTCTCTCCACACTAGGCCAACACTGGACAAATTGATGACCCCCGGGAGCAACACCGAGTCATCAACAGTAACCTCGCCCTCATTCAGGTGACTCTCCCCTTTACCTGTGGATGGGTCCCCTCCCCTCTTTGGAATCTGCAGCTAGGCTGGTAGGAAGAGTGAAGGCACGGGGAGCCTTGTCTCTGCGCTCTGGACTGAGCTCTGGGGATGGGAGCTACTCATCCATTCACCCCGTGCCCACCAGACCACATTCTTGCAGTAGCTGGGGGCTTCTTGAAAGATTTGCCTATACTTGTTCATTTCTTTTTCTCGTAGCCTAGGGTGCAAACTGCCCCCCAAAGTATCCCTGAAACAGCATGGCTAGATCTGGCCTCATCACCTCCCCTCCTCTCACTCACCTGTTCTGAAGTCCCCAACTCAGTCTGGTTTGATGATTGAAAACTCACTCTGGGAGTCAACCAGCTGGGGACCCTCAGGCAAGTCACTTCACCTCACCTGCAAGGTGGGCTGTTGTGAGCTGTGGGTCGTAGGAGAGGCATGGTGTCTAGCTTGCACGTGATAACCAATCATGCCAGCTATGCCTAGTGAACAGTCTTACCATTTCAGTAAGTTGGAAACTGCGTCACCTCAGCTTCTCTGCCCCTGATCCTTACATCCAGGTACTGAGCATACTACCTCTGAGCTACGCAGGAATCCAGCCTTGCCCCTCCTTGCCTCGGCTTCTTGGTCCCCTTACTGACTGCAAATGTCTTCACTGTTTTAACTGCTTCAGGCTTCTTGACCTTCCACTCACCTCTGCATGGTAACCTAAGTGACCTTTTCAAAAACCTAAAGCTGATCAGACCTCTCCTTCTCGCAGCCCTTCTGTTGGTTCCCCTTGTCCAAGTGTGGGCCTGGTCCAAAAAGCATTCACGGTCTGGTCCCACCTTCCCCACCAGTCGCATGTCTTGCATATGCGGTTATCTCTTCGTGGAATGTCCTTTCTCCTTTTGTTCACTTGGCAATGAAGCCCTTTAAAGACTCTAGTTCAGCGGTTCTCAACCTGTGGGTCGTGATCCCTTTGTGGGTTGAACGACCCTTTCACAGGGGTCGCCTAAGACCATCGGAAAACACATATATAATTACACATTGTTTTTGTGATTAATCACTGTGCTTTAATTATGTTCAATTTGTAACAATGAAAATACATCCTGCATATCAGATATTTACATTACGATTCATAACAGTAGCAAAATTACAGTTATGAAGTAGCAACGAAAATAATTTTATGGTTGGGGGTCACCACAACATGAGGAACTGTATTAAAGGGTCGCGGCATTAGGAAGGTTGAGAACCACTGCTCTAGTTAGTTCTCGGTTCTAACCTGACACCAGGTACAGCTCTTTGGTGCCTTGAATGTGCTGCTGGGGCTGCCCTTGTTGCAATTCTGTGTTTGGATGTTTGCTTTCTCCACTTGAGGTGACTTGTATGGGCCAGGACCACCCATGATATACTGTAAGGCAAGCATGTCAAACTCAGAGGCTAACAGGGGCCAAATAAATGAGGCATGTGGCCCATGGGCCACGAGTTTGACATGCTTGCTGTAAGGTGTATGGATAATGTACAGCCAGGTTTGGCTTGTAGCTGAAGAGTTTCAGAGATTAAATGAGACACTCATGATACCCCTAACAGTGGATCTGGCAAGGGGTAAGTGATAAATACCTCCGCTACAAGTCACCGGTTTTACTTTTCTGGTTTACACCAAATCCTTGTTCATATGTATGTACATTTTCACATGATGGACTTACAAACATTAGTTAAGTCCCGCTCTGGGCCAGGCAGTGGCTCGGCACATGGCCCGAATGATAGTGAGGGTAAAATTTTGTCCCCTCTATTTTTAAAACACTAAACATCAAACATAAGTGGTGCAACAAGGTTCACAAGAAAACTTTTTAATAATGTCAGCATATTCCAGCATCTATATATATATATATATGGCTAATATGCAAAATGTCCCCTCAGGAGTTTGGGAGACGGGGAGTTTAATCACTCACTATGACATGCGCTGGCCACCAGAGGGTGGTGCGAAATGAAGGAAGGCCCTGGCCAGCAGCCAGCAGCCAGCAGCCGGCAGCCCCCAGCCAGGGAAGGAAGGCCCCAGCTAGCAGCCAGAAGGCCTCGATTGGCCCTGATCACCGGCCAGGTCTAGGGACCCTACCCGTGCACGAATATCATGCACCAGGCCTCTAGTATAAATATAACCAAGGGTGATATTAAAAATTTTTAACAACTAGTAGGGCCTGGAAATACCCCAGTAAGATTGAAGGATAGCTATCGAGAGCTGGCCCAGCAGGGTCAGTGCAAACCTGCCTGACCTCGGCCCGGACCCACTTCACTGTACCGGTGCCCTGTGGATGCACCTGCAGTTGTGTGGAGGCTTCTACTTGATAAATTATCCTGCAATGAAAATGCTCTTTTTAGCACGAATTTCTTGAGAGAACTTCCCACAAGTTCACAAGGTATAAACAGTTTAAAGCTCCACATTTCCCCCCAAAAGATTACAAAATATTTGCTTTCTTAGTATTAAACTATAGCACAAGTATTAATATTTGAAGTATTGGTTTTTTCATAACCTCACCAGCATTGAAAGTATTCTAAACTACTTTTTGTACTTACTATATATATATATATATATATATATATATATATATGCCATAGACAATGTATGATAACAATTTTCTGAATTTAAGCATTTATTTAAGCATAAAACATATTATACTGTAGCCTTGGCTGATGTGACTCAGTGGTTAGAGCATTGGCCCATGCACCAGAGGCTCAAGGGTTCCATTCTTTGGTCAAAGGCATGTACCTACTTTGCAGGTTTGATCCCGGGCTCTGGTTGGGGTGTGTGCGGGAGGCAACCAATTGATGTGTCTCTCTCACATTGATGTTTCTCTCTCTCTCCTTCCCTCCCTTCTATTCTCTCAATATCAATGGAAAAAATATCCTCAGGTGAGGATTAACAGCAACAAAAAAATCTTACACTGTACATGTAATTCTATAATTTGTACTTTTCCCTTAATTACTTAATGAATGAAAATCTCTTACAATAGCAAGTGGTAAGCACTCAGTAAGTAGCAGCTCCAAATATCATTATCATTACGTGGTTCTTTGCACATAGGTACAATTGTTTCCCTGGAAAATGCTTGATCATTAGGAATATGGGTAATGTACATCTAAGTTTTCCTCCAAAATCCCTGTACCAATTTTACCACCATCAATGTATGAGACCATTTCCCTCCAGAAGTATTTTATATTATCAACCTTTCAAATTTTAATTTTACCTAGTCTGATGGGTAAAAATAGTGTATCCCATCCATCCATAGATTCATGCATCCGTTTATTTGGTGAGCACAGATGAGGGCTGAGATTCAGCTTCTCTTCTCAAGCTGAGGATCCCAGCAGAGAATAAGACAGCGCTTATCTTTTAATAGAGGAGGACCGACAGCGGTTACAAATAAATAAGATGTCTTTAAGTTACGATTTCATTTAAAATTTTCCTGACAGCCAGGGTGGTTGACCAGAGAAAACTGAGAGAATGAGAGAAGCAAGAGTTCAGAGGACCCTTCCTCACGTTTCTGATTTCTGCCTGACAGGTGCAGGCCACCGTCGTGGGGCTCCTGGCTGCTTTGGTTGCCCTGCTGCTGGGAGCTGCGTCTAGGGGGGAGTTGGACTTTGCGAAGGTGGAGTTGCTGTGTGCCAGCAGTGTCATCACCGCCTTCCTCGCGGCCCTTGCCCTAGGTGAGCTGTGCCCCAACCCCAGCACCTTCCTCCTCCCGCCTGGCCCCCATGCCCCACTCTCAGCTCTTAGTGCTTTCAGTTCCAAAACACTACTGGTGGGGCCTTGGGCATCCTGCCAGGTCATGACCCACCTTGTGGGGAAGAGGGCAGTGAGCCCCATCCTGGGAAGGGTGTGTGTGCCGGGGGAGCTGCTAACTCCACTTCTTCCCTCTGCTTGTAAAGAACTGGCCGTGGCTCTGTAGACATTCCTCTATTCATCTATTCATTCCTTCTTTCCTTCATTCAGTCCTTAACCATTTCTCAGGCATGGCTAGGGTGTGGGCTTGTGCTGCTCTGCTGTCTGCAGTCAGGGGAGGAGCAAGGCTCAATTTTTAGCTTTAATTTTATCTCTTTAGAGAGGTGTTTCCTGACTACCCCTCCCATGTACTGTTCTCCTCCCTCGCCCCTTCTCCACGGCCACCATGCTCTACCGTACCATGCCGTTTCCCTTTGGAACACGTGGGGAAATCTGAAAGGATCTTGTTTCTCTGTTCATTTTCTGTCTCACCTTCCTGCTACAATGTCAGTTCCTCAGAGCAGGAGGCCTCCATCTCCTATTTTTCCATCTGCTGCTCCTATCACACCGCCTGCCACAAGACGCTTCCTACGTGTCTACGGAAGGCGGAAAGCCGGAGGCACTGGCAGACGTAACCCTGACCTTGGAGCCCACACATGTTAGTGGAGAACCAGTTGGCTGTGCAATCACCAAAGAATGCCACCCACTCATTGGTACTCAGTGTTTACTGAGAGCCTGCTGCTGGCCATGCACTGTTATGGTGCTGAGCACACATTCGAGAGTCAAATTCCCAGGGATCCTGTTTTGTGCTGTTTATATTCTAGTTCAGAGTGAGACATCAACATGGGAGCAGACAGGTAATTCCAATTAAGTGTCAATGCCTCTTCCTTCTCTGATCGGCTCTCTAAAGGAGCCCTGTCCACAGTCACTCTTTGTTTTTAGTATCCTATTTATTTATTCAAATGCTTGTTCACTTCCTTGCATATGGTCTGTTCCTCAATCTGACAAGCATTTAAGGGTGAGTACAGAGCCCAGTGGTTACTGAAAACAGGCCCAGGCATATAACCAGCTCCCAATATTTGCTGAATGGATGGACTTTATTCTGATTCTCTTGTGGATTGTATGTCTATGGGTATGTCGCAATGTGTGCAAACGCAACAAGGAACAAGTGATAACTTTATACGTTGGATTTGTATTTACACTTCTGTCCAGCCATCTGACTGCCCACAAAACACCTTTGAGCTCAGCTCTCTGTAAGTTAATGCAGCGGGTTATTTGGTGATTTTTATTCCTACCAGGCAGCTGATCGATGGAACCGCTGCACTCCTGCACTAGGGCCCGTGATTGGGAGGGGAGGTAAGAGTGCAGATGCTTAGGAGCAAATTCACAAGTTGTGCTTCTCAGGCGGGATGTTTGCACCGGGTCACATGCCTATGCATGTGCATGGCGTGGGGCACAGTTACTCAGTCTGGTCAAAGGAAAGGCAGGATGGGTATGCCAAATCTGGCATAGAGAAATAGAGAGCCCAGGAGATACGTGGCATGAAGTTTCCTCTGAAAACAATACAATCAAATGATTCAGAAGGCCTGTACCTGTAGGGACTGGTACAGAATGTCGTAGCTCCCCATTTTACAGATGAGAAAACAGAGGCCCAGAGATGAGGTGAAGCTCAGCTGCATGGACATAATCAGGATCACCCAAAGATGTGTGGAAGGTCAGAAAAGTTGCCGGTGTCTCACAGTGTGACCACGACATGATTGTGCCGTAAAGCCAGGAGGTGGTGGCGGCTCTTAATCAGGGTTCTCAAACTGACGGTGTCCCTGTGTGTAGTCCCGGTGGGATTGTCACCAGACCACCAGTTTAACCATGCAAATTCGGATTCACTTAGAACTGATATTTCAAAAGAGATAAAGTAGCTAAGACCTGGTCACAAAATAGGGCGCAGTCTGTGGCTTGAAAGCATGGGTCAACCCAGCTTTAAGACGACATTAAGGTGGTAACTCTAAGTATGTTTAGAATTACAGGACACTGGGTAAAGTGTTAAAACAGCAACAGCCAAAATACCGAGTGTCTTCATAAAGAACCACATGAGATGCAGTTGGATTAGGGCCTAAGGAGCAGATGGGGGCTAGAAGTCCACGTGTGACATTCACCTCAGAAGAGGAAGGAGGACCTGGGAGGTGGTGTGCCCCTCAGGTCTCCAGCTACGGCGCAGGTCCTCAGTGCTGCACCCTAAAATCCATCAGCCCTCACTCAGAGGCCATCTGCTGACTCCACCCAGTGGCAGCTCTTCAGGGCCCCTGAGATGGGCCTGTTCCCCAGAGACATGGGCCTGCCCACGTGCCTTTGGCTTGAGGACCCCTGCCAGCCCTGCCCGCTCCCAGCACTGCACTGCAGTCTGCATGTGCCCCTCCTCTCCCTCTGTCCTGCCGCAGGGGCCGCCCTGCTCCGCCACCCTCCCATTTCCCTCTGAGCTGCTCACCTGACTGATTCTACCTGGGCATCTCCAGGGACCCCAGCAGGCCTGGGAGGCGATGCTTGGTCCCTGGGGCTCTACTGCTCAGAGCAGTTTGGAGCATCTTCCCTGCAGTGAGGGCCTATGAGCTTCATGTCTCTAGTCCAAGTGGTTTGGAAGCCTGGGAACCACCTGCTGCTACCTCCCCAACAGGCTTGAGTGTGTCATCCGAGCTCCCGGCTGCTCCTTGGCATCATGCCAGAGAGCCACAAAGCGGACTCTGACACTCCCAGCCAGGGTGGCCTGGCGTGTGCTGATAGAGGGAAGGGAACCCCCGAGCAGCCTCCTGACCCCCTCCTCATCCTGTGCTGCTAATTGAGCCTCCTCGGGGTCAGTCCATTACCTGAGCCTTAGTCTCCCCTCTCTCCTCTCTGCAGGGCTGCTGATGGTCTGTATAGTGATTGGTGCTCGAAAGCTCGGGGTCAACCCAGACAACATCGCCACACCCATTGCAGCCAGCCTGGGAGACCTTATCACGCTGTCCATTCTGGCTTTCATTAGCAGCTTCTTCTATAAATACAAAGGTAGGGGGTCCCAAGGAGGAGGGACTGCCAGCAAAGCTTTGTGGGAAGTTTGCATGTAGCTACGACATCCAAATCGGGCACCGCAGGAAGGAACCTACGGCTCTGGGGTGGAGTCGGCGATCCTCCTTTTATAGAAACAAAGCCTGGAGCCACTGAACAAACCAAGGTGCTCTCCAGCAAGTTCCCCGGCTCTCCCAACCATGTGAGCGGACACACAGGGTGTCAGTTACCACCTTAGACCAGGGCATGCGAGGAGGCCAGGGAGGTCCGGGCCTGGGCTGGCCACTTCAGCGCAGTGACAGTGCCTCCTTGGGGAAGGCAGTCACGCTTGGCACATGTTAGATGCCCGAGAAGTGTCCGAGGAGGAAGGTCCGCCACGGGCAGCAGCAGCACATGCTCTCCCTGCAGGTGCCAGCCAGGGAAGCCGGCCTGGCAACCTGCTCAGCAGCTGAGGGAGGAGTTCGCACGTCTTGTGGCAGCAGGCCCTCACTCCACCAGAGGTCTCCCAGGGCTGCATGAAAACAGTCTGCTCAGGCCCTGGGCAGTGTGGCCAGGCAGCGTCACCCAGGCCCAGGGGTTTTGCCTTCCGGGTGTCCACAGCTGACCACTCCCTTCTGAGTGCCACAGTTTTTACTTTCCGCCTGGCACAGTCTCGCTAAGATGGCTGCACACAGAAGTTTACATCTAGTAGGTGTCGATTCCGAGCACAGTCAAGACCCTGGGTGCTCGGGGGCAGGCAGCATAAATGAACGGAGTGGGTGGTGATGAGACGGTGGGGAGGCCGGGGCATGTGGGGCAGTTGGTGGGAGGAGATGCCCCAGACAAAGGAGCAGCACAGCGGAGCTCCAGCTTATCATCGCCTCGTGGGAACACACAGCCAAGCGTTTGAGATAGCACCCCGTGTTCATCATGTGTTGGCAACGGAAGCAGAGCAACAAAAACACTTCCGCTGTCAGGTGTTCAGGCCCGGGAGCCTTTCTCGGCTCTGGGCTGGCTGCTGGCTACGCTGGGAACTGCCTGCCACCAACACTATTTAATGACTTGGGAGGTTCTCAACATTCACATACATGATAATGAAGGGTTAATAATAAGATGACCTCATTTTATTTTTAAGCCAAACTGAATTTAGAATAAGAAGATTTGTGTATGGGTTGATCCTGTTTGATTTGCAAAATTAACACGGGTCACAGGTGTCCCCAGACCCGTCCGCCTCGCCCCTGCTGTACCCTCCTGAAGTAGTGGGTTTCAACATACGACTTATTAGATGTTGCATCATTGTTGCGTTGTCCATCTCTCCAGTTGGACTGAGTTTATCTTGGGTGCACTGGGCAGGGTGGGGAGTGGGTCGCTGGGCCTGGCACATAGCAGACACATCTTCCCTGACTGGGTGTGAGCCATGGACTGTCTCCCCTGCGGTGTAGTCGGGAAGACCAGCCACGAGCAGGGGCATGGAAGCGTTCACCACAGGGCTGCGGGACTAGGAGGTGGGACCTCTGCCGAGGCTTCTGAGGAGTTCCGGAGACTAGATGCAAAGGTGTCCTGCTAGCAGGTGCCCCTGCAGGCTGCTGTCTCCCGGACTGTTTGACACTTGCTTCAATCTCACTGGATGGGAGGAGGCAGGGAGGGTATTTATGTCAGGAAAATAGCAAAACCCGAGAAGTGAAAGTGAAGGGGGCAGGACCTGAGGACAGAGAGGAGCTTTTCCATTGCTTAACAGGATGAGAAAATGCTTGGGGAGGTGTGGTAGGACAGTCACCTGAAACTGATGAGGACGGGAGTGTCTCCTCACACCTCTAGAGCCTTTAGTTCTCAGCCCGCCTCTTATCTCTGCAACCCAGGCCACTGCCCACCACGCCATGCTGTGCTCTGGCTCTGGCCACATGGCTGCGTGCATCCCCTTTTTTCTTCTTTCTCTTCCCAGACAGTCGGTTTCTGACTCCCGTGGTCTGCATCGGCTTCATGGCCCTGACCCCGGTGTGGGTCCTCATTGCAAAGCAGAACCCACCCATCATGAAGATCCTAAAGTTTGGGTGGTTCCCAATCATCCTGGCAATGGTGATCAGCAGGTGAGCATGAGTGAGGGTCTCTCCCCTCTCCCCGTCCCTGTGCCACCCCCTGACTTTGTCTTCAAGAGAGTGGCCTGAGAGCCAAGGACCCCCCAGGAGGGGGCGCTCACTGCCCTGTGGCCATGGTGGGCGTGGACTGCAGCGGCGGCTCCTTCACTAATTTCCACGGCTGGTTGAGTCAGACCCCTTTACTCTTTGCCTCTGTTTTTCTTACCAAGAACCCTACGCTTGTCTGTTCTGAGAGGCAGCCCTGTTCACCTTTGCCAGGGCACTAGAGAGCCAGGAAGAGCCGAACCTGGGAACATCAGATGAGTGCGGAGTGCCATGGCTCCCTGCCCCGTCCAGGCGCTGTGGGATCCGGCCTCTCCCGTTCCCCTGCTGCCTCAGCTCTCCCTGGCCTGGCCCCTGCTTAAGCTGCAGGGAGTCTCTCATCTGGCCTCAGGGCAATGGCTCCGCAAACCCCATTTCCACAGCATGGCTGCCTGTGGGACCTAGAGGGCTGAGGGATTGGTGCCTCTAGAGCCTGGGCCTTTAGCTGAGCCCGGATCTTCTACCGCTAGCTCCATCCTCAAGGGCCCTTGCCGCTAGCCAGCCCTGCGGGGCCACCCCAGTACTTTCTGATGTGCTTTCCTAACTTTGACTCTCAGAGAAGAGAGGCTGTAGTGTAGGTATCTTTGCTCCTGGGTTCCTTACACAAAATGATCGCACTTCTTCAGGGCCCTTGGGTGGGGCAGCCTTGGCTAAGCTATAGGGGCTGGTGGGAGCGAGCTCTCGCTGCAGCACCTTCCAAGAACAAGGGGCCAGAGATGACACTCGTGCAGGTTCGTTTTCTGCTGAGGAACGGCTCAGTTGCAGGTCCGGGGCTGTCACAAGACAGCCCAGTGAGCTGAGAGGCCTCAGAAAGGAGCTTATTGTTTGTTTTCAGTGGGCAGACACTTCGAGAACAGCGAAGACCAGATAGAGACGAAATGAATGTGGGAGCTGCAGGGCACACTGTGGAGACAGCCTGGCTGCAACAGATACCTTGTAGAGGGCTAAGGAAAGTGTTTGCTAAGCTGAAAAGACAGCCTGATAAGGCAGTTTGCAAGGCCGCTTACAAGCATAAACTCTAGTCATTTAACTGCCGTCTGCTCTCTCCCCAGTTTCGGAGGGCTCATCTTGAACAAAACCATTTCTAAAGAGCCATACAAAGGCATGGCCATATTCACGCCCATCATCTGTGGTAGGTATTGGCAATCCCTGTCACCTGGGCACCCTGGGCTGGGTTGGCCCCGCAGCCCCAAGTGGTAGGGGCTGGCAGCTGTGATGTCAGAGGTCCAGCCCCAGGCACTCAGAGGCAGAGCAGGAAGCTGGCAGGCAGAGGCTACCGAGGCTGGTTTTCCTAACAGAAGGAGACCTAAGGGGAGAAGCCATGCCCATTGCTCCACCCGATCACACCCTGCTCCTCACAGGCCACTGAGACCTGAGCTTCCCCACAGGCTAAATTCCATGCCTTGAAGGCACCCTGGATCCAACCCCGGGTTCTCACACCCGCAGAATGAATGTGGCCGTCAGAACTGGAGTGTTGGCCTCTCATGGTTTTTCTTTTATTTTAACTTAGATCCACTGGTGACATTACACATAAAAATCTGGATTTCTGTTTTCTTGGAAAGCGAGGCTGTAACAATACTGGGTTTACACTGGGGGTAGGGCCGGAATCAGTTGCCACTGAGACAGGATCTGTGTTGTCCAGTTTGCCTCAATCCCCTCCATTCCCTATTGTCTTTTATCCAACCCTTCACTGATTCACCTTCTAGGCTTAGGCCCTGTGGGTATTTGCATGAGGAGCCCTCTTTTAACCAAAGCTTAGTATGTGTCTGGTTTCTGATAAAGCTCTGTGATGGGAGCAACCAGCCATGATGACTTTTTGCACAGTTTGCTTGATGCCCAGGCTGTGGCTTTCTGGGACTTCAGGAACAGGCTGCAGGGTCCTTGGGCCAGCCTCCTCCCAAGACACACATTTCCATGGGAACTCAGGCCTGTGTTCCTTGAATGTCAGTAGCCGCCTGTGGGTCTGCACCTCGACAGAGTCCAACAGGGTCTATTCCCAGCACAAGGGCTGGCCATTATACATGAGGACAGCAACAGCCAAGTCAGGCCCAGAAAGCCATAAGCCTGGGAAGATAGCGGTGGATGGCACCAACTCGGATACCTATAGGGGCCAAGCAAGCAGTTTGACTGAGTTAAGCAGGTAAGACAACAGCTAGGCAGTGAGGAGTGATGGGGAGCAGGGCCCGTGTTCCCGGACTGAAGGGAGCAGGGCCTGCTCCGCTCTGGCCACTTGCTACCTGGTAGGAACTAAGGTCTGGAGTTGCCTGAGCTGACTTGTTAGGAGAAGCTGGGAATCTGGATTAAAGGCCCAATTTGTAAATGCTGCCAATTAATTTGGGTTATTTTTTAAATCATGTGTGGGCCAGGCAAAATAGATCTGTAGCCACCCTCTGCCCACTGACCATTGTTGGCATCGTCTGGAAGCCCAAGGCAGTTGGTCTTTGCCCCTGGAGATCATGGGGACACGTGAGGTCCAGTAGGAGATTGTTCCCTGTGGAGCTGAGGAAATAGAATGGGGCGACCTGACTCTACCTCAAAAGGTGACGGTCACCGTCATGGGCCCTGTTCTCTGACAGCCCCAAATTCAGCCCCACTGACTCTCCTCCCTTTTAGCATGGCCCGTGTCACTGGGCCCTCTGCCCCTGGAAGCTCCAGCTCCGCCATCATATGATCATCTCTCCTCCCTTACTGCTCTTACCATTGTTCTCTTTCCTGTCCTTCCTACCTGAGGGGAGAAAGTTCCCCTTTGTTTTCTCGGGTATTCAGGTCTGTTCTCTGGTTCCTGTCACTTCCTATGGCTTTAGTGGCTTATCAAGATACCTCTCCTTGACCTCTCCATTGACTCTCCTCCCTCTTTCACTCTCCCTGCTTCCCTTTCACACTCCCTCTACCCAATAAATATGTATATGGGACCTACTTTGCAACACTTCCTTCACCTCAAGAGCTGTCAAGGTGATACAGGTACTACCTTGCTACCTCATTCATGAGGTCCAGGCCACCCTTGTTTGGTGCTAAACGAGATCTGAGGTCAAATGGGAAAGAAGGAAAAGAGATCAGGTGTTGAATCAGAAGACTTCCTGGAGAAAGGGACGTTAGCATAAGGAACAGAACTCAGAGACTGGCATAAAGAAGGGGAAACCAGGTTCTTTTTCTCCTCACAGGTGTTGGTGGCAATCTGGTGGCCATTCAGACCAGCCGGATCTCCACCTACCTGCACATGTGGAGCACACCTGGGGTCCTACCCCTCTGGATGAAAAAATTCTGGCCTAACCCATGTTCCACTTTCTGCACTTCAGGTGGGTCTAAGGTTTTTCAGAGGCCATGGGGCCACTGCTTTAAACAAGTAAAAATTAATGTCATTGGAATCTCGTGTTTGTAGCCATGATGTCTAAGACCAGTGCTGACCTCAGCACAGATTATCATATCAAAAGCTGCTGCAAACAGCTTGGATGGGGCTGCAAATTGGATGGGGCAGGGTCTCAGGGAATCCCCAGAGTGGAGCAAACAGTGTGCTCCAGGCTCATTGAGACTCAGATATGGCTGCCAGTCAGCCCTGCGACAGGGGAGGTCCCAGCACAGGAACAATGACTCTGTGAGCACCCCTGTCTGGGAGAAAGCCGCCCCTGAGTTCCTGCCCCAATGCCAGGCAGTCCAGTTCTTTGTATGTGTCTGGGCCCCCCAGAGTCACTCGGTGCTGGAACTCAGAGGTATGGCGTCACCCTCCAGCAGCCTCTGTCTCTCAGCCACAATCCCCACTGGTTTTTACAGCCTGAAGTTACGGGGACTTCTCTTCCCAGTTCTGGTAGCCGGGGCTGGGGGTTGAGACCCCTTGCTCCTGGGGGAGGAGGGATGGAGGAGGGGGAGGACAGGACGCTGCAGAGACGATCTCCCTCCCGATTACACAGCACACATGGGCGCTGGTCCAGCGGGTTCTGCGCCTCCACCCTTCCTGCCAGTCTTGGTGTACTTTCTTCTTTACTTCTCTAGTCGTAGGACTTCATTCAGCCAACTCTCAGGTGGTTCTGAATGACGGTGGTTCTGTATTTTAGTTGTAATTTTGATGTGGTTGTGGGAGGCCAGAATACAAGCATTTACCTACACTGCCATCTTGGTTCTCCTGAATTCTTTATGTAGCTTTCTATAAATTTTCTTGAGTTTTATGTCACTTTCCAATAATAATTATTTTGCCTCCTCCTTTTTAAGTTTGTTTTAAAGAATATAACCTTATCTGATTTTTCATCATGAATAGATTTTGTTGTTTTTCTATGGTTTCATTCTCTCTCTACATATTATTTTATAGATTTTCCAGTTTCCAAGCTACATATGACTTCATTCCTTTTCCTTATTAAGTTGATAAAATACATTATATCAACTCATAAGAAAATGGAGGCTTACTTTTCATTGACACCCTTTGTGTGTGAGTCGTCCATCATATTCACATGTTATAGTTTTAAAGAGAAGGGCACGGTAAATCACATTGCTTGCAGTCTCAAACTCAGGGAGCACTGGCTCCTGAAAAGAGTGGGAATCACTCAGACCTCACCAATGTGCTGAAGGCCCCATGAGGGCACTGCCCTCCCCGAACGCTAGGGATCACTAGTTTTTCAACACTCCTGAGCTTTCCACCTTAAGCCCCTTGCGCATTCTCTTTCCTCTAGCCAGAATCTTCTCCCCCAGATTCAGATCTCAGCCTAAATGGCATCTCCTTGAGAGAGCTTCCAATTTCTATAGCTCATTCCCACTAATAGACACTCATTCTCTACCATATTACCCTGATCATACCCTGAAAATACTCTACCATATTTTCTTCCTAGTACTTGTCACAATTTGAAATGACCTTTCCTATTTGTTTCTGCTATTCGATTCCAATTTTTCTATCGTCTCTAAAATGCCAGCTCCATGAATGAATGGATAGGGCTATTCCCCATCTGCAGAAATATGCCTGCCACATAGTCCACCAGGGCTGTGTGCACTACTCTTTGGCACCTTCAGGAAGTAGCTGAATGAATGTGGATGCCCCACTAGAGACTGTCACATGTCAAGCAGGACACACAACCTCATTGGTTCTCTTTCTTCCAGAAATTAATTCCATGTCAGCCCGAGTTCTGCTCTTTCTGGTGATTCCAGGCCATCTGATTTTCTTCTATGTTATCTACCTGGTGGAAGGCCCTTCGGTTCCAAACAGCAAGATCTTTGTGGCGTTCTATCTGCTAGCAGGCCTGATCCAGGTAAGGACGATGGTAGCAGCAGCAAAGGAGCATTCAGTGGTGGTTCCCTGTCCTGGGAGAGATGCTGAGAAGGTGGAGTTGGGGGTCCTGGACATGCAGGGCACAGTCCCCATCCTCCAGGAGTCAAGTTAACTTGTTCAAGCTCAAGGGCATGATCCAGACCCAGACGCCATCCCTCACTCCTCACTAGACGCTCCATGCTGCACCCTCCACATGGCACACTCCACATGGCACACTGCAGAGGCCACCCTCCACATGGCACACTCGTTACTCCACCCTTCACAAGGCACAGTCCATACTGTATACAACTCACCCCACACTCCTCACCAGAGGATCAGAGGAGCCATCCTGAAAATGCCGCATGTTGCCCTGAAGCAAGCCGGTGAACAGGTCCAGCTGATGAGCTGGACCTTATGCTTCACTCATTAGAGACGGGATGGGCAGGGATCAGACCCCTGCAGGGGTGTTGCTAAAAGGCACTTGTGGACTTTGTCAGAGCTGGATGATGATAAGGCTATCAAAGACTTTCTGCCAAGACTATAGCTGGCTGATGTCCTGCTGGGCCTGGGGACTCTGCAGGGGTTACTATGGGCACTGGTGGGCAATTTTATATATATATTATTGATTACAGAGAGGAAGGGAGAGGGATAGAGAGTCAAAAACATCGATGAGAGAGAGAGACATCGATCAGCTGCCTCCTGCACACCCCTCACTGGGGATGTGCCCACAACCAAGGTACATGCCCTTGACCGGAATTGAACCTGGGACCCTTTAGTCCACAGGCTGATGCTCTATCCACTGAGCCAAACCAGTCAGAGCACTGGTGGGCAGTTTTTAAGGGGCTAGCATTTTCAGATCTTGAGTTATGGCATTTGCAGTCTTAGCATGTGCCTGACCCTGAAGCAATCTGAGAAACTGTCCTGAGCAACAGCAGGAAAGGAGCTGTGGTCAGCCTGCAGCTAGGGACTGAGAAGCCCTGAGACCTGACCAGTGCTGTGTGGACCCCTTGGCACCTCCAGGAAAAGCCAACCATACAAAGCTGCCCATGAGTGGGCCTCCAGAAAACCCATATTGAAGTCCCAGCAAGATTTGTGTTTAAGGTTCCAAGGATGTTGAGTGGAGCTGGTACATCAGAGAAAGTCAAGGCTAGTGATCAGCAACAGGTCTGTCTGGCACTTCAATATGCCAGGAGTAGGGTCCAACCACAGGGAGGGATGCTAGGCAAGAGTGGAAGAGGGTGGGCTCTTTGGCCCCTGCACAAGCTCATAGCTGGGCGCCAGAGCCCAAGAGAAGCTTGTGGAAGGGGACTACCTGGGGTTGACATGTCCACCTTGGTGTCTGCCCTTGAAATCTGCTAGTGTTTCTGACTTGTCATTGTCTTTTTGCTGCTTGTTATTATGACAGGTGACAATCCTGCTGTACCTGGCAGAAGTGATGACTCGGCTGACGTGGCACCAGTCCCTGGATCCTGACAGCCACTGTATCCCCTACCTCACAGGGGTAGGCGACCTCCTAGGGACTGGCCTCCTAGCCCTGTGCTTTCTTATCAGCTGGTTATTGAGGAGCGAAGCAGAGCTGGATGGCATTTCAGAACTAGCATCGGGACCTTCCTAATGAGACCAGCAGCTCCAGTTAGTCAATAGAATGCTCCCTTCCACCAATGGGGTACAGAATGCAGCTCCTCCCTGGCTGGGTCCTTAGGTCTCCCCGCCTCGACAGTGGCCCTTTGTCCATCTGCTAAGGAGACTCACATACATCTTGACCCCCGTGTTGGACCCTGAGGCCATGATGGAGCCTAAAATCAGAAGTACTGTCTGTGCGTATGTGTGTGTGAATGTGTCTGCAGGTGTCCGCGTGCTAGATGAGTGTGTGAATGAGTGCACGTATGTGTGGAGAGCAGGGAGCACAGGCCCGAAGATTCTGAAGGAAGAGGCATGCCAGTGCACTGTGGGGATGTTTGGCCCTGTTTCAGTCGAGTGCAGCCTGGATTGGGGTAGAGCAGGAAGAAGATCCATTGGGTGCCCAAGTCTCGGGACTCCCCGAGTCCTGGCTTAACTGCTGTCTTCACTGGGTCCAGCTCCACAGGCCACTCTGCTGATGTGCCCTGCAAATGTGTGCAGCCCTTCCTAGGACAGGGCCCCCATCCGCTCCCAGCATTTACTTTTGCCACTGCTTTCTTTCCTTTTTCTTTTTTTTCCTCTCTTTCCCTTCCTTCCTTCTTTCCTTCCTTCCTTCCTTTTTTTCTTGCTTTTTTTTTTTTTAAACAAACACCTCTGTTTAAATTTTAATAATCAGAAAAGTGTAAAATAAAGCATAGAATATATTGCATTTGGCATTTTGTGTTTGTAAAGATATTAATGCGCCCATGCGATTTGTGGTCTATAAGTCACAAAAACCTCTGGCATTTCTCTAGTGCAATGTTTGTCACACTGTAGTCTCCAGCCTAGAAGCATCAGACATCCCCAGAGAAGGTGTTAGAAATGCTAATTATTAATCCCCCACCCCACCCCCTGGCCTGACAGATCAGAGTGTCTGAGGCAGAGCCCAGCAGTGGGGGTTTCACCAGCTCTCAGGGGTTCTGATGTACCCTGGAGAACCACTGCTCCAGAATCCAAGTTACTGCAAACACTAAATAATGCCTTATGTGAATCTGTCTTATTGCAGATACAGCAAAAATTATCTTTGAACCATCCTAACGTACAGACTAATTATACACAGAATATGTAATAGTTAAGTACTACACTTATTGGAAAAACAGAGGTGGGAATATATAATTAATTCTGAAGGTGTAGAAAACTTTCATAGAAAAAAAAATAACATATTAGACAAAAACACAAATAAATAAATTATATGCGTTTTCCATTTCTTCCTTGAATTCCTGTGAACCAATACAACATATGTGGTCAAAGAGTAATGGTATAGGACTCAGAAAATCCTTCTACTACTTCCTAATGGCATACCTTGTGTGAGTTACTTATAAAGAAGCAAATTAAATTATTGATTCAAAAATTTATGAAATCCTTATGTTCTTTCCATTGTTTTACATAAGGTATTTTCAGGACATGAAAAGGAACAACAAAGAAGCCTGTTTCTCAGAAGTGTACATCTAGTTGAGCAGATAAGACATTTACTAGAATGAAACACAGAGAAAGATACAAAATGATGAAGGTATAGTGACTTCATTGCAATTAACTATTTTCATGAAACATTAGCTGTGTTAAATTTATAAGTAAGGCTATTAGAAACTCTTTTTAAAAATTTTTTTTATTGATTTCAGAGAGGAAGGGAGAGGGAGATAGAAACATCAATAATGAGAGAGAATCATGCCCCCCACGGGGGATTGAGCCCACAACCCAGGCATATGCCCTTGGTTGGAATTGAACCTGGGACCCTTCAGTCTACAGGGCAACGCTCTATCCACTGAACCAAACAGCCAGGGCTTAGAAACTATAATTTTATCTGACTTTCTATTGTCTGAAAGTAGTGTTTCCTCAATGCTTGCCAATATTAATGTGTGTTTAGCTCACTAGATGGCACCTTTTCTCTTTCAGAATCAGAAATTTGAAAGCCAATTTTTATTTGTAAAAAAAAAAAATTTATCTTTGAAAATAATGGAAATGAAACATTTGTTTTTAGAAAGTTTCTTTTTTACTTTAACTAAAACACCAGAACTTGTGCATCCAAATATATTGTCCTTGTAAGAAATCAACTTGAAAAAATATACTCTGTAGACCTTAGAAGCTGCAATTATTTCAAAGAAGTTTGAAATTAAAAAAAAATTTCCTTTTGAGGCTAAGAATCATACAAAAAGATGTTTCATTCTGCACAGAGTGTCCCAAAAACTGTATAAACTATTTCTATAGATTCTATTGCATTTGAAAGTAAAATGTATTTTAATAAACACTACCTTTATAATTATTCAAAATTTGTATACATTTTTTGGGGACACTGTATTTATAACATATTTTATGCTATTATCTAAGTTTTACATCAAGTTTTTCAAACTTTAACTGGTACTTTATAGATTTTCAATGACAGTCACAGATTTTCTCTATGAACCATTTTTACTTAAAGGGAAACAGAAAAGAAAAAGAATATATCAAATTAGAGGAGGTAGGATGACAACATAAAGTATTGGAAAAGGCATGGAATTTAGAAACAATCTAATCCCAGGACAAATCTCAATATGACCTTGGGCAATTTTTTAGCTGACATGTGCTTCACTTCCCTCATCTATTAAAGAGTGATGCTAATTCTACCAAATAGTTGTGAATTCTTTTATTTTTTTAAATCCTGCCCTCCCTGGTTTGGCTCAGTGGATAGAGCATCAGCCTGCAGACTGAAGGGTCCCGGGTTCAATTCCATCAAAGGCACACGCGTAAGGTTGTGGGCTCCATCCCCATAGGGGATGCGCAGGAGGCAGCTGATCAATAATTCTCTCTCATCATTGATGTTTTTATCTCTCCCTCTCCCTCTCCCTCTCCCTCTCCCTCTCTAAAATCAAGGGAGAAATATATATATATATAAAAATCCTCATCTGAGGATATATTTTTATTGGTTTGAGAGAGAGAGAGAGAGAGAGAGAGAGAGAGAGAGAGAGAGAGAGGAATTGGGGGGGGGGGGAGGGAGAGAGAGAAATATCCATTAGTTGCTTCCCGAATGTGCCCCTACAGGAGATGGAAACATGGAGAGAGAAGCATGGATCGGTTGCCTCCCATACATACAGAGGTGCCCTGACCGGGAATTGAGCCCTCCAGCCTTTATCGTGCATGGGTCCATGCTCCATCCAACCCAGCCTCCAGGCCAGGGCAGCTCTGAAGTATTAAAGTGACCAGTAGGAGTCCTCCATAGTGAAGGCTCTAAGGCAGTGGTTCTCAACCTCCCTAATGCCGCGACCCTTTAATACAGTTCCTCATGTTGTGGTGACCCCCAATTTCATTGTTACAAATTGAACATAATTAAAGCATAGTGATTAATCACAAAAACAATATGTAATTATATATGTGTTTTCCGATGGTCTTAGGCGACCCCTGTGAAAGGGTCGTTCAGCCCCCAAAGGGGTCACGACCCACAGGTTGAGAACCGCTGCTCTAAGGATTGATAACTATTCAATGCAATCCACATGGTTTTTTAAAGATAAAGAACATACATCAGGTTATTATCTCTTCCTCCAACTACTCTGTTTCCAAGGCCACTGTCAGGCTCAACCATCATTCTCTGGTTACTTCATTTATATGTCTCATACCAGCTCAGCAAAATTATAAGATTCTTGATTGTAGAATCTATTGCTGAATTATTTTTGTTTTGAACTATGTATAAATATTGCTGCTTCCCATTTCATAATTTGTTGATAAGAATTAGGTGATTAAGTTTTTGCCTTTTTCTTAGGCATACTCCATGCCAATTTCTTCAGATATTTATCTACCTACCTATCCATCCATCCATCGATCTATTGCAGTTCCATGTCACATTGACTCAGAACAGGTCTGTGGAAGACTTAGGGTATAAAATCAGCCATCTGAATTATTCATCTGGATTCTTTGCCAATTGATGAGACAAAATAGAAGTACCTCAATAGATCTTTCATTCTATTGTTATAATTTTCCTTTATTATTAACCCTATATCCTGTTAAATAAAATGAATTTGTGATCTTATAAAACCCCCTGCAGGCCCAAATGGCTTCATTGGGAAACCTATAAAACATTAAAGGAAAAAATAGCACCAACCTGAACAGAAACTTTAATAATATAAAGAGGAAGGAACTTTCCCAACACTCTTCATAATGCCAGCCTGTATCAAATCTGTCAAGAATATTGCAAGTAAATAAATTTACACACCAATATCCCCTCCAACAAAAATTCCAACAAAATTTAGCAAATTATCTATCTTCAACCACATGTTTTACATAAATTATTTCATTAAGTCCTTAGAAGATTCTATATGCCAGTACTACTATTAACCTCCGTTTTGTACACGAGGAAACCAAGGGCCAAAGAGCTTAAGTGGTCAAAGTTAACATCACTAATATATGTTAGAGGTGGGATTTGAACAATCTGAATACAGATTCTGGGCTCTGAGGCACTGTCACCTATTACACTGCCACTTAGTCAGCTAGAGATAACTTTTTTAAACCACTTGATACAATAACTTTCAAATAATGTTCTGAGGTGAACACATGACTCAGACTTAGAAAGAAGCAGGTTTGGGTTGGATGGAGATGGAGCCCGTCCTTTATTATGAACTCCTCCACCCAACTTCAACCAGAATGCCTCCATTAAATCCATTTTTGTGAACTGTTTTCCATTAAACACTTTTAAAAAAAATCTCCACCCAAGGATACATTTGTATTGATTTTAGAGAGAGGGGGGAGGGAGGGGAGAGAGAGAGAAAAATATCCATCAGTTGCTTCCTGCACATACCCCTACAAGGGGATTGAACCCACAACCTTTTGCTGCACAGGACAATGCTCCAACCAACTAAGTCACCCAGCCAGGGCTTAAACACTTTGTTTTCTTTTTTTTTTCTTCTGTTGCTGGGACTGAAGGCCTCTCTATAGGCCAGACCCTGTTAACTCCCAGGGACTAATCAGATTTTTTACTCCTTCATCTCATTCAGGGTGGAATCTGGGTGTGGCTGTATTCCTTGCCTGGAGACTGGAGGGAGGGGTTAATATCTTCAGGAGAAAATGGATGCCCAGGTCCTAGGCTCGGGCGTGACTCAGCCCTCAATTCGCTGCCACCTCTCCTGGACCCCCTTCTCTCCCCAGTCTCTCCCCAGATTCCACTCGTCCGCACCTTCTCCCGCTCCTCAGCACGGGTGAGTGTATCCGAAATGTCCTATGAACAGGGTTCAGAGAAAAACAAACAAACAAACAAACAAACAAACGCCGGCCGCGGAAACGGGGAAGGCTGAGTCTCTGTGAGCTCCTCTCTTACCGGCACTACATGGTCTGGTCAGGGCTTCAGGCTGCCCCCTCTGGGCTCAGTCTTCCGTAATTATGGAACCCAGATCTCAAATCCCCCGGCGCCAAAGGTCGATGTCCTTTCCCCAGTCAGAGGCTGTGCCTGTCCCAAGAGACGCAGCTGGGTGCCGTGCGGTTTCCCTCTGACCCTCTGGGCTCAGAGATCTGGCAAACTTTCCTGCCTAGATTCCTGGTTTTTACCTTTCCAGGGGAACTCTGCCCTTCCCAGCTGCAAACTGTCTCACCAGCTGAGTCTCCTTCGCCAATTCAGGGTGGATATTATTCGTTTCAGCTGCTCATTCTAATTGCTCCGGGACAAGCCTTGGGACGGGTCCGCCTATTCTGCCACCATCTTGTCTCCTCTCCTCTAAAC